GACCATGGTGCTTCAAAGAAACCAAGTAATTACTAAGTTTTGCCTTTTCTCACCACCTAATTCTGCCCTGTTTTAGTGGCCTATGAAATGTTCATCACTTCGCTCTGATACAGTTTAACTCTTCTTGTCCTTCCTTTCTTGCTGCTTTAAGCCCTTGTTTTTTATTCTTCCTCCAGGAAACAAGTCATTCTCCTCCTCCACCTCTACTTCTTGTGAAATACTTCATTTATAGCCTTTTCCCCATTGTCTCTGTATTTTTTAAGCTCTTATACACAAACTAGAATAAAATACAAACCATGGATTATTACAAAAATTAGTGTGGAAAACTATAAAATTGCATATTAAGAGCAGCGTGATGAGACCTGATAAACTAGGATCAGATGGAAGGGGAGGAGGACCTCCCCTATCAGTGGATTTAGAGAGGGGCAGGAAGGAGATGAGAGAGAGAGAGAGGGTAGGATTGGGAGGGAAAGAGGAAGGACTACAGCTGGGATACAAAATAAATAAACTGTAATTAATATAAAAATAATAACAATTTAATAAAAAAGCAAAGTGAACCTGTCTGGTTTTTTTTTTTTTTATTCCTCTGTTGTTCTGTTGTTGTCTACTGAGCAGAATCATGGTGGGGGAGGCCTAAATAAAAGAAAGTTTGTTGTCATGGTCACCACTGATGAATTTCTGTTTCTGAGGACCTCACAAAAGAATGCTGGCAAACTGAAACGATTCTTTAAAATAACCTTTTGAACCATGCTCAGGGGGAAGGCCACACATGCTAGAGCATTTGGGCTGCACAAATTGGCTTTTATTGGGGAGGAATAAAGAAGAGCACAAAGTTTGATGGGAAGGGAAGGAGGGTGGGCCCTGAAGAAGTGGAGATAGAGGGTGAATATTATCACAACACATTGTATGAGATTCTCAAAACCAATAAAAATTTTAAAATGACTTTTTATAAGTTTCTTTGAGATTAAAAATGTTTTTGGCTCCGTCTAAGGTTTAGATGCGGATTGCCTTTAATTTTTAAAATCATGTTACTCCCAACCCCTATCCTGTGTCAAGCTTTCTGAGGCTAAAGTGTTTAGCTTTTGTTGTTGTTATTTTCAGAATTGAAGCAGGGCAGTGCGACTTATACAGATGCCATTAAAAAAAAAAAGGACACTAGCCAGTGTCTAGCTTTGAAGTGATACAATGTACAACCTCCCTGTGGAAATGCCCCTCATGTTTGCTTTGTTAGGCTAGAATGAACATCTATGTCACAGGGACCCAAATCAAATCAAAGATTTGCCATTTGCTAAAACGTCAAAACCTTAATTCCCCTGAGTTCTCCCCCTTCCTCCAATAATGTGAAACCTACAGATACTATCAGCTCCCTCATAATACTTCTGGAAGAATGAAAATAAATGACAAAAAAAATTCTGTCTCTAAAGCACTCATCCTGCTCTGACAAAATGACCCAGAAGACAGAAACATAGCTGGATAGTGGAAGATATATGTGCTTTAATTTCAGAATGTTTCTTTCTTTTTTCTTTTTTTTTTATAATCTTTTATTTATTTTTTATTAATTACACTTTATTCATTTTGTATCCCCCCATAAGCCCCTCCCTCCTCCCCAGCCGATCCCACCCTCCCTCCCCTTTCTGCATGCATGCCACTCCCCAAGTCCACTGATAGGGGAGGTCCTCCTCTCCTTCTTTCTGATCTTAGTCTATCAGTTCTCATCAAAAGTGGCTGCATTGTCCTCTACTGTGGCCTGGTAAGGCTGCTCCCCCCCCAGGGGGAAGTGATCAAAGAGCAGGCCAATCAGATTATGTCAGAGGCAGTCCCTCTTCCCATTACTATGTAACCCACTTGGACACTGAACTGCCATGGGCTACACCTGTGCAGGGGTTCCAGGTCATCTCCACAAATAGTCCTTGGTTGGAGTATGAGTCTCTGGGAAGTTCCCTGTGTTCAAATTATCTTGTTCTGTTGCTCTGCTTGTGGAGTTCCCGTTCCCTCCAGCTCTTACTATTTCCCACTTCTTACATAAAATTCCATTCACTCTGCCCATCAGTTGGCCATCAGGCTCAGCATCTGCTTTGACAGTCTATACTGCAGAAGCTTTCAGAGGCCCTCTGTGGCAGGTTTCAAGGTGGTTTCCTGTTTTCTTCTGGCTTTCAGAGGCCCTCTGTAGCGGGTTCCGAGGTTGTTTCCTATTTTCGTTTTCTTCTGATGTCCATCCTCTTTGCCTTTCAGGATGGGGATTGAACATTTTAGTTAGGGTCCTCTCTTTTGCTTAGTTTGTTTAGATGTACAGCTTTTAGTGGGTTTATTCTATATTGTATGTTTATATGAGTGAGTATATACCGTGAGTGTCTTTTTGCTTCTGGGTCAATTCACTCAGGATGATCCTTTCCAGGTCCCACCATTTACCTGCAAATTTCATGATTTCCTTATTTTTCATTGCTGAGTAATACTCCATTGTATAGATGTACCACAGTTTCTGCATCCATTCTTCAGTTGAGGGGCATCTGGGTTGTTTCCAGCTTCTGGCTATTACAAATAAAGCTGCTACAAACATGGTTGAACAAATGTCCTTGTTGTGTACTTGCGCCTCTTTTGGGTATATGCCTAGGAGTGGTATGGCTGGATCTTGGAATTTTTTTTTTCTTGTCATTTAAGACCAACCTGCAAAAGGGCAATTTTTTCCCTCTACTCTGGCATGTTAGTTGTAAAACTTTGAAAGTTTCCTCCAGTCACCAGAAATGCTGAGAAAAGCAGTATTATTGAGCCAGTGAGTTTGATATTTTCAAAGAACCAAATTGCCATGGAAGATAAAATGAGTGATGCAAAGTGGCTGCAGCCACTGGTGGGCGCATTACTTTTATGCTGGCCATGCCAGTTGAGATATTGATTCCAACTGGGGGATGGGTTTGGTTTTCAGGTCTAGATAAAAAATCACAAAGAGACCGTAATTAATCAGCGGAAACAAAATATCCTTAAAGAGTTAATCTGAACGTAAGAATTGCAGAGACATAATATACAACGACTTGTTGCTACTGGATTGAGGGAGGGTGTGGCTCAAAGCATGGCCAGCTCTTGCATGTATGCGGGGTGTTTCTGCACAGAGTAGCAGTCTGGCTTTCAGGGACAGCATTACTGCTAAGCTAAGCCTAACCATCTGCTCAGGATTCAGCCTCACTGAGGGTATTTTAACTGTCTGCGCTGTAATTCCTTTGCTTGTGAAATAGGGTTGCTGATAAAATCTGGTCATTGGAGGGTTTGGAAAATATAAAGAACTCAATGCATGGGAAGTGGTTACCATATAGAATAGTCTTAAATTGTCATTATTCTGAAGGTATAAGCTTAGGCCAGCGCCAGAGACTTGGCTTCTAATTCCAGCCTTGACAAAGCAGCATTTAGATGCTTATGTAATATGGTGCTTTCTCGGAAAATTAGGAATAGTGCTACCTCACAATCCAGCTTTACCACTCCTGGGCATATATCCAAAAGATGCTAACCCATACAACAAGGACACTTGTTCAACTACATTCATAGCAGCTTTATTCACAATAGCCAAAATCTGGAAACAACCTAGATATCCCTTAACTGAAGAATAGACAAAGAAAGTGTGGTACATTTACACAATGGAATACTACTCAGCAGTCAAAAACGAGGAAATCATGAAATTTTCAGGCAAATGGATGGAACTAGAAAAGATCATTGTGAGTGAGGTAACACAGAAGCAGAAACACACACATGGTACATACACACTTATGAGTAGATATTAGCTATAGAATATAGGATAAACATACTAAAACGTATAGTCCTAAAGAAGCTAAACAACAAGGAGGACCTGAGGGAAGATGCTCAATCCTCATTCAGAAGGGCAAAAAGGACAGACATCAGAAATGGGAGATGACAGGGAACAGGACAGGAACCTTCCACAGAGGGCCTCTGAAAGACTCTACCCAGCAGGGTATCAAAGCAGATGCTTTCCCTTCTGAACCACATTTCCTTGATTGAAAATTACAAGGATCAAGATAGCATGGAAAATATCTTCAAGTTTCATGTGTGCTTCTATAATGCAAGACATCTTTTTATGTTTTGTTAAACACAGAAGTACGTAGGGAAATATCCATTTTATGCTATGAAAGTTAGTCCTGTTAGAGGGAAGATTAGCCCCCTGCCTTATTTGTTTCTTCTTGTCCTTGTGTATGCATATGTGTGCATGTATGTACATGTGTACATATGTTTATTTGTATATGTCTGTGTGTACATGAAGTTTATCCCTCATTCATTTTCTGTCTTACTTTTTGAGTCAGGGTTTCTCACTGACCCTGCAGCTTGCTTGTTCAGTTAGCAAGGGGGCCCTGCCTGGGTCCTGCCTGTCTCCTGTGTCAAGGATTCCAAACTCATACCAGCTGACCTGGCATTTATATGAGTGCTAGATAAGGAACCGAATTTTATTGACCAAGCCATCTCCCTGACTTTATTATTATTATTAATTACTCTTAGGAACAGAGTTCTTTGAACCTTGCAAATGTGAATGGTATAAAAAATTATGAACAAACACAAAACATTGTACTAAGCCTGAGCAACAGACTCTCATTAAATATTTAAGTGTTTAAATTAAAAAAGTGTGCAGCCTTTGATCAAGAAATTGTACTGATTATGCTTAACACATGATGCTAATGAATTAGATTCTTTGAGGAGACCCAGTTAGAGAGAAAGTGTTTGTGTATGAGCACTCATATGTCTGTGTGTATTCCATCTACAAAAGTTTCTCTTTAGGGTCATTCTGTTTTTTATGTTATATCTGAAAATTTCAAACTTAATAATATCATTATTCTGTCTGTGCATGACAAGCTACTTCAGTTCCAAACCAAGAAAGCTTAATGCTTGTTATAGGTTTTGTGGATTAATGTGAAGAAAATTAGTACATGTCTATATACTTTTTTCTTCTGCATAAAGAAACTTCCAGAATGTATTCTTGCCTTACATAATTTGGCATTTATTTCCTTGTATTCTCTTTGTCAGCACACATACTAAAATTGGAACAATACAGAAAAGATTAGTGTGGTCCCTATGCAAGGATGACATGCAAATTTGTGAAGTGTGCCATAATTTTTCAGGTGGGAAGGGGGAAAAAAGAGGAGGTAAAAGAGGGAATATGGGGAGAGACAGTTAAAATTAAGGGCCATTTGAAGTGTATCCTGGAAGCCTAATACAGTAGAAACTCCCTAAAACATGAATAGATGAAGATAATCTAACAGAAATTTCCAAATAGTGGGAGAGACAGAGTCCCAACTGATTGACCATCACTTGTCACCAAATGAAGCTTCCAGTACCAGGATTGGGTTACAGTTAATTGTGGGCGAAAGGCATCCCATGGGAAGTCCCAAACAACCCAGGCTGTTGTCAAGACTATGGTTGCTCTCAGCAAACTGACCACAAGGGTCCATTGCTGAAGACAACCACTACACAACTCATTAAATATGGGGATTCAGGCAGGTGCCTGCATAAAGCCTTTATCCCTCTGTTCTAGATCTTCGGTACAGGAAAGTACTCTGCGCATCCCCAACAGAAAAAAAACAAACACCAATTTAGCCACAAAACTTTTATCTAGAATGTTGTACCACCTGCACAATATGCTAGTACAATTCTGGCACAAGGCTTGTGATAGTAACCAAGCAATACTTGATTTTTTTAAGGCCCACTTCCCAAGATAGAACCTATACTTGACACTGCTTGGTTGATGAAGAACCTGAGATTAGGTTGCCCAAGGACCTGGGGTAAAACTATTTACTAGTGTTCTAAAATAAATAAGCAGCAATAAAATGATTCATAATGACATTCCGCTCCACTCATTGATCAGCATACTCAGCCATCACCAGAGAAATTTCCTTCTGCAGCAGATGAAAGAAACTACAGAGACCCACACCAGACATCATATAGAAAATGACAAACCTTGAAACACTGAGCCTAATTGAGATGTCTCTGTCATATCCCTCCCCTCAGAGCTCAGGGAAGCCCACAGATGAAGAGGCAGAAAGTGTAAGATCCAGAGGGGATGGAGATGATCAAAGTACATATGCACTCACATGGACTGAGGCAGCACGCACAGGGCCTGCACAGGTTTGCACCAGCTCCTCTGCAAATATATTATGGCTTCCACTTTAATGTTTTTGTTTATAGGACTCCTGAGTATTATAATGAATGGGTCTCTGTTTCTTGTACCTTCTCTTAGGTTCTTGTCCTTCTGTTTGTTGATTTTATCCAATTCCAATATTAGCTTTTTGTTTTGCCTCATTTTATTTTATTTCATTATTATCCCTTAGAAGCCTGTTTGATTTCTAATGATAGATGGAAAGTGAGTAGACTTGGATGTGAGGGGAGTTGGGCAGGATTTGGAAATAGCGGCAGGAGAAACGGTAGTCAGTATATATTATGTGAGAAGAAAATGTATATTAATTAAAAGGAAAAAAAACTGAGAAAATAGAAGAAAGATTTAAGAAATGGTTGTGAAAAGACACATAGCAATAAGTGATTGAAAATTAAAATAATAATCATCTATTAGCTTTATAATAATAAAGTAGGAAATTGAGAAAAATAATACCATTAAAAATATAAATTAAGTCCTCTGCCCCCTCCAAATCCCAGACAAATTTCTGAGAAGATAAGCAGGGTTCAAATCCTAGATTTATCACTTACTCAGTTTGAAATTTGGGTCTTATCACACCTCTGTGCCTCAGTTTCTTCTAATGTAAAGAAGGATATTTGTGGGAATCACTCCACAAGGTTATCATAAAGTTAAGAAGAAATAAAAGCAGAGTGCTAAGATAAATTTCTAGAACAAAGTAAGCACTTGAAGAATTTTGTGATTCACACACACACACACACACACACACACACACACACACCAGTCTTGACTCTATATGTGGTCTATCTTTTCTCATTAGAGACTGTAAGACCAAGGTTTCATTTAACCATAAAGCATATTAAATATAGTCATTACCTTTTCTTGAACAAATGTTTTGTGTGGTTTAGTTTATTTTTGAGATTGTATTTGAATTTCATCACTTTCCCTTTCCTCTCTCCAATCCCTCCCATATATTCCTCTCCACTCTCCCTCAAATTCTGTTTTCTTCAACTGTTCCTGTTTTTTTTATATTGTTTATAGAAACAATATAAGATCTTCGTGTATTTAATGCTATTACCCCCTCCCCCAAAGCCAGTGGGGTTTTTGTATGGTGTTTGTTTTTTTCACTGTCACAAAACAACAACAAAAAAGTGGGTGCAAAGCAGATACCAACTTTGGTAAAGATGCAAAGCAATCTTTACCATGCAATCATTACGACCTGAGTTCAGTGCCTAGACCCATGGGAAAAACTGGAAGTGGTGTTGTGCTCTTGTAATCCCAGTATGTGGGAGGTGACGACAGTGGATCTTGAACTCAGCTGGCCAAGCAGCCTTGTCTATCAATAAGCTCCAGGGCTATAAAATCCTGTCTTAGAAAAGCAACTGGTGAGGAGCAACATCCATGGCTGATCTGTACCCACACATAAAAGTGTATCCACGTGAACACGTGGCACTCCCACTCAAAAAGAGTCTACAAAAGGAAGGCGGGAGGACCTGAGTCAGAGAGAAGCTTAAACATACCACACTCCTGGCTTTGTAGCAGTTATAAAGGACAGTGAGCCTATGAGTGTAGCTGGAAAGAAAGAAGTGAATAAATATTCCTCTCCACCATCCTGTCACCCAGTAAAAGAAGCACATACATAAAACTAAAACACCCAAGTAACGAGACTTCGGACCTCCAGATCTGTATGGTAAAATTTTGTGGTTGTTTTTTTTTTTTAATTTTATTTTTTTCTTATCAGTTACATTTTATTAACTCTGTATCCCAGCCATGTCCTGATCCCACATTCCCTCCCAGTCCCTCCCTCCCTCCCTCCTCTCCACTGTGCCCCTTTCCAAGTCCACTGATAGGGGGACCTCCTCCCCATTCATCTGATCCTGTTTTATCAGGTATCTTCAGGACTGGCTGCAAAGCTCTCCTCTGTGGCCTAAAATTTCTGGCTATTTGTTACAGCAGCAAAAGAAAACTAATACAACATGGTAGCACTTTGTTCATTTGTTTAGAAAGGGACATTTTAGATGTTCTCTAAGTACTACAAAGAAAAGAATGTTATGATCAATAATTAAATTTTGTGGGCTATTTAGTATCTCAGAAGATTTTGTTCTTACAATTACAACCTCTTCATCTTCTTTAGGGAAGTTTTATGATGCTATTAATTTTTTTTTGGATGACAGGATATGTCCAAAAGTCTTCTTCCCCCTGGAATAAGACAGTCTCAAATGCCCCCATTTTATGGACTTTTCATGATTTAAAATGTCCCAGTTTCCCCATAATACTGAAGTAAAAATTTAAATCTCCAAGAAATAATATATTTTACTTGTCTCCAGAGATGGGTTCATACTCTAAAGAATACCATAGTGTTTGGAAGGAATAATGGTCCATAAAGTATAGGAATTGCTTTCAAACAGACCCTGCCTTTTGGGGTTACTCTCAAGACTCATGCCTTCCTGTGTGCCTAAATATAGGAAAGCATCATTGATCAGCAGTACAGTAGAGGGCTTCTAGTTGTGGTACCCACAAAGCCCAGCCTTTTCTTTTGCAGTGAGCATTAAGTTCAATGATATTGTGGCCCAGTTACCATTCGTATCCAGGAAGCAGGCTGCCCAGATCGGCAGAGAGTTTTAAATCAAAGCATGTCATTAAAAATTATGGGTAAGCTTTCTAGTCATGACAAAGCCAAATTAAAAGAATATGCAGCAAAGCTATTGAGATAGAAATACTCACTCTACACACATATCAAGATTCCACATTTTCTTCTACTTTAAAAATCTTCCAAGATTCTTCTGTTACATCACTGGTCTCATTTCATACATGTAAGCATGAAGATACCTTTGCAAACCCAACATGGGCCTCATCAGGGTTGGAGTCCGTAGAGCAGAGCTAAGTTCAGTTACAGAAAATCTAGAAAGAAATCCTTGGAAAAAAATGTGGTTTATCTTACTTCTAATGGGATACTTAGAAACTGAAAGAGCACAATGAAGGAAGTTATATAGAGATGTGTTTGGATGGAATATGTGAGATAATTTTCTGAGAGGCTATGAACAAAGGTACAAAGATAAATGGTGGCATCTATTGAAAAAAGGTCAAAAATGTTTACCTGTCTGGAATTAAGTATATTAAAGAGAATGGATCAAGTATTGGTCATGCATAGGTTGAGATCAAATTAACAAGAATATCCGCACAGTGTCAGAGTAGAAACAGTTTAGTTTTAGCTGAGATAGTAAGAGCTCAACCCAATTCTCTTTTTCCTGAGGCTTGTTATTCTCTAGTCCCAAGATGGACCCTCTAATTTATTTGTTTTGCTAGAGGCTGTTGACGAATTTATACAAAAATATAATCCTCGTGTAATTGTGAGCTACGAGCTATGGGAATTTGGAATGAGAGACAACCATATAAAACCTGTAATTAGGGCTAGAGATGTCCCCAGAGGTGGAGACTCAATAACTGGACTGAGTAAAACTTAAAGTAGCCTGGAGGTCCTTTTCATGAAACATAGGAGAATGCTTCCATGATGGGAGAACCCTCTTGGGCAAATTAGTTTTCACGCTGTTTCCAGTGGCCAGTAGCAAGCGTGCACATAGAATGAAAGCCTTTGACGGCATCAGTTCTGACTGATTTTTGAGGTCTTTTCATAGAACGATTCCTGCCCACATTCCATGTTAACTGTAACACTTGAGGAAGGCTGAAACAATGTTGAAACAATTTTACCTCATTTTTCTTAAAGGAGAAGGTTCTCTCTAAAGACCAGATGACTGGCTATTGGGAGTATGAAGACAATCCTGTATTAAACGACAGGAAGTGGCAGATTAGTCATAAAGGAGCCATTGCCCCTACTCGTAAAATCAGCCACTTTTGTAATTTTGCCAATACAAGACGCATAACAGCACCCCAATGGCTATCTTCTCGGTCGTATTCTACATTACTTTCATAGCCCAAACTTATTCGAAAAAAAAAAAAATGAGACCAAATGGGAGAGTCCCTGTACCATC